TCAATAAAAGGTTGTAAGTACGGTTTTCCGATTCAGTGATCGAGGATTCAAGCCCGGCATTTTCTTATCTTCTCATATTACCTTATTTTAACATTTTAACATAAATGATCGAAAGTATGTTAATATCCAAAAACCTATTTTCCGTCCTTTTCTTTCCTTTTCAAAAGAACAGAGATAGCAACATGGTTTTGTACGTTTAGTACAGTCAACTACATAAATAAATATGACATTTAAAAAAATATTAAAAACTTGTAAAGGTCTTGAAAAATATGCAGTAATCGTCAATAATATATATTCATGGTCGGAAGATACGTGTACATATATTTTAAAAACGTAAAAAAGTTTCTGAAGCTTTTAGCACATTTATGTTTCTGACTGTACACTCAGAACGAGAGTGCTATTTCATTAGCAGACTAGAAGTGATATACGTCATTGTATTTATGCACTTTCTTGTTCTATTTATCAGGGAATGTACAAAGTTGGTGATGCGACGGCGGTGATGTGGAGGCAATCTCACGGATTTAATAACGCTCCTCGCTATAGGTGAGGACAAATGCAACTAATGTGTAACCTGCACAGAGTAATATCTAACAGAGAGTACAGTAAAATACTTTATTTCAAAAAGTATTTACGATTTGTAGGACGTGTTTTAAGTTCAAAAGTACCCAGTACTGACTACTTTCGAAGCCCTCGGGGGTCCTTCTTTAGGATGAATGCGACAGTTTATTTCACGACTGAGGCCCTAAAACTCATATTTATGTTCATGTAATCAGATATTTAAACTTTAAATATGGTGCTGTAAAAGATAAATATTTAAACGATAAATATATGCTCATAACGCCGAGGAATAGGTTGAGACCACGGATATTATTTGGCACGGTCCTAGCATGCGGCTTTCGCGTCTTCCACTTCCATACATCTATTGCCAATTAACTAACATCTTTAAGACTGTAATACCACTAGCTATCAGCCACTAACCTATCCGCATAGAATTAAAAAAAAAACTTAATAACGTAGTCAAGGTGTTCTTCCAGACTTTTGTACATCTGTACCAAATTTAATCAAGATCCGTTGACCCGTTAGATACCTTCTAATAAAGATCTATTCATCTATCTAAACTTTCGCATAATATTAGTAAGATATTGCACAGCTTAAATAGTTAAATTACTCTGTGCAAAAGCACCTGCAGTAATATAAAAGTACGCTGTTAGAGTACCGACACGCGCGCCATACCAGACTACGGTTACATCTGTTAATATTTTACTTCGCAACAATTTCACGAACCCATTTGTATATTGAGGCAAGTTTTATTTACATTTATCTCACATAATACTTTAATTTTTTTATTTTGTACATTTTTATTTGCTTAGTTTCTTTTTTTTAAAGTACTAGCTGTCGCCCGCGACTCCATCCGCGTGGATATATAAAAAAACTTAATGAGTGTAGCCCACCCATTCATCCATCCACATCACATCCAGTTAAATAAAAAGCTCTTCAAGGCATAAGTTCGAAAAAAAATTTAAAAATGAATAAATTGTATTCTATGTCCGTCTCACTCTAAGCTACCTACTCACCAATTTTCATAGTTAAGCCGTTCTTGAGTTATAAATAGTGTAACTAACACGACTTTCTTTTATATTTATAGATTTAAAACAAAAGAGACAAAAACGCATGAATTAGAGAACTTTAACAACAGAGAGAGTCAGATATGATTTTAAACTGGTTCTTTGTTTTAATTAGTAAGTATAAGCTTCTTAATTGCATGTTCATTTTAATCGTCTTTATACACTTAAGCAAGATTGCTTTGCTTAATATAAGTACGGTGTGCAATATTGCAGTAAAATAAATCAAGTAGAGCACAGAGTAGCGTAAGTCAGAGACTAACAAGCTATAAATCCAACTGACGAAAGAACAAAATTAACCGCCAGCGCTTCGAAGCTTAAAACCCTTATTTGTTTCATTTCTTCTAACAATTTGTTGAATTAAAGTTAACTTTTAGTTAAAAAATATAAACAGAACTCTGAAGGACTATTAAATAGACTCTATATAAGCAATATATGGTTTCTAATCAGTTTAAATTTCGATTAATCTCTTGTTAATTGTTAAGTACCTATAACGCTTTTTAGGCCACTTCAAAAAGAAGGATATTATCAATAAGTCGGTATTTTTTGCATATACTAGCGGTGGGAATTAAAAAAAACCCAATTAGTAGCCTATGTTCTTCCAAGCAATGGTCTACATCTATGCCAAATTTCAGAAAGATCCGTTGAGCCGTTCTGGAGATAACAAACATGCATATATCCATCCAAACATTCGCATTTATAATATTACTAAGATTTACCAGCGTGGTTGACTATGGCCCAATCACCCTTAACTTAGGGTAGGCTTCGAGCCCCTCGGTGGGGACGTATAGTAAGTTGATGATGAAAGATTTACCTGAAAAACAAAAAGGGGTATTATTTTGCTTGCGTATGCTACATACGAGCCGCTAAAATCATTGAATCTTATCTTGGTAGATGGATGGATGGATAGCTGTTTTAGAAGTTGTATCTCCAGAACAACTCAACGGATCTTCATATTGTCCCAGATCTAGAACATACCCTGGAAGAACACATAGGATACTAATTATTTTTAATTCCACGCGGACGGAGTTGCAGTAAAACTAGTAATACATAAATTAAAGTTGTATGCAAATTGTATGACACAGATTGAATCGATTTATATCAATGGATTAATCCTCAATTCAAACAGCCGTCAGTAAAGTGGATTGGACGCTATTATCTCGATTGTTAGCTCAAGAAAGCTCAAGATCGCCTTTGTTGTTTGAATGACATCTGAAATTCACTTGAGCCTCAATGAGAATTTTAATGTTCTTGATCACTTGATGCAGATAAAGTATCAAGATGAATTAAAAGATACTGCTTTGAATAACTGAATGGTAGTAAATAGTATTAAAAGATAAAACAGAAATTGTTTTATGAAAATAATTATTTTTACAATAATTGTCTATATTTTTTTTACGATTAAAAATTAATTACTTTTTAATGTTGTTTTTATTTATAGCATATATTAATCGGGCTGACATGGCCCGAGACCAAACGCAGAGCCCAAGATAGAATGAACTGGCAGCGCACTGTTGACGCCCTCTGCCCATCAACGGGAGCATAGGACTTTAAATTATATATTAAACCAAAAACTAAATACCTGACTAAGGACTAGTTGCGGCGACCAATTATTCACAAACAGATAAAATTCGTTCTCGTCATTTGCACCAACACAAAACTGTTTCTTAACTTCAAATCTTATAGATAGTTTCTTAACTTTAGAACAACTAGATGCAACAACAGTTGTAGTCGCCAGAGTGACATATAAATAATGAAAGTTGTACAGAGGGTAGATTAACAAAATCAGTCATTAACCTTTTCGAGGCCATGAGAAATCTCTACAGACGTGTTCTGTGAGCCAAGCCGAAAAACCGTAAATATTACTACATGAAAAATAGGGCTTGCAGCTGTTATATCGATAACGTGGAAAATATATAAAAATTTTAAATGATTATCTAATAAAAATAACTCCCTAAATTTTGATTTCTTATTAGCTTTTGTCCTATTTTAGACAATAAACTTTTGAGTTTAATAATTATAAGTACAAAAATACGTTGACTATTACGCGTATTTCACGTTTTGTTGGTCTTGTATAGAACCGTGACCCACATAGCTTTCTTTGCTTGTATACAAGATCCTGGCCTCGAAAGGGTTAATATGCTTTCATAACATGTTGTTCTATTTCTAGTCTAGTCTAGTCCTGATACTACAGCCAGCAACAACTACATTTTATACACAGATTTGGTCTTCTTTCCGGTGCAATACCACGACCATACAGAAGACACGCCTCAAGTGGATGTTATTGCGAGAACAGTCTGATGAATGTGGTGTCAGAGGCCTAATTTTAGTCCTCTTTTATTATATAGAAAAGAGGGGAAGAGAAAATGGCTTTGATAAAGGTGGGAACTCATAGGAAGGGAAAATATTATAAGTAATGCATCTGCAATTGCAAATGTCTATAGGCAACGATCGCTTCACCATTTCATCGAATTCAGGTGACAGCTTGCTCGTTTGCCACTTTATAACATAAAAAGAAAACTTTCAAAAGGCAACAGGCAACTTTAGCTTCTCCTACTTATTGTAAAAGAGAAATATAAAACCATTTATCAACATGACAGTAATATTTTTGAATAGTATCAAAAGTTGGGTCCGGCCAGGATTATCTTCCGTAGCCGGGGGCCATCTCCCGAAGGAAATCAGACCTGATATACAGTTACTGACTTAGATTACTTTTGAAGACGTTTATAACAATTTCATCTGACGAGTACACATCGAGTCAGTAACCACTAAGTGCTACCCTTAGTGTAGATTTTTTAGTAATCAATTAACTGATCGTGGCAGTTTTAAAGTATATTTTATATATGTTTAAATAAAAATGGATATTTACATATATTATGTATTCTTTTGATTATTTAATTTCTTTAACTAATATATATTTAAACTAAGACATAAGCTGATAATTTTTACTGTATCAAATAAACTATATAATAAAACTAAACCAAACTAAAAATTAAACTAAATAATATAAAAAATCGACACCAAATCGCTATGCTCACACGGCAGGGTTCCCCAGGACTGGCGGCATTTCCCCGTTGGATGGCCAGGCTCAACCTTCGTGCGAAATACGCGCCAGCCCTTGGATCCCCTGAGGCGTCGATGAGGCATATATTCTATTATGTATTCTTGAATTAAAATTTTGATCTTTATAAACCGGAATCTGGTATTTTCTATATATAAAAATCTATATTCATAAATGAAAAATAGTGTTTTGATATGAAAAACACAATTTAATATTTTTTTTGTTGTGAATTATTTTCATACATTTTGTACTCATTTGCCGCAGAAAAGAATATTTCTTTTTATTATTTTTGAATAAATGTAATAAGTTTGCAATTTATTATTTATTTCTTTGTGTACGGCGGAGTACAAACACAGTCCTCCTCTAGGCAGAGACCCAGAGTACGATTGTCTTTATTGTAGCAATCCGCAGTGCATTTCCGATTAGTACATGATGGTTCTGGAATATAAAAGCAATAGTTTAAAATATACTTTTAAATCTTATCTTTATATAATATAATTCAATAGATATGTTACACTAGTTTAAGACATTATTAATTAGAATCCTTTGGCGCGAATGACGTGCTTTCGTTACAATGTCCAATGTCAGAATGATTAGTGAGGGGATATAAACGTCAACATTTTAGTAAAGCTAGTGTTGTGCTAGTAAACCGGCACGGTCGGATGTTTTTCCTAACATTAGGTACCATGACTAATTTAACGGCCAAAAATCCGTGTTCGATTCTGTAGAGCTAAAGAATTTGATTTGATATTTATCACTGGTAGAGCCCGCTTTAACATATTCGCACGAATTGGCCCGGCTCGCCCGGTGAAATACCACGACCACACAGAAGACAGGCGTCAAGTGGAAGCAATTCCGCGTGCAGTCTGATGAGTGTGCGTCCCGGAGGCCTAATTTACTCCTCTTTCTCTTCCCACCCTTTTTCTTCAAAGAAAAGGATGGGAAGTGGAAGTGGACTTTCCGGATGAGAGGATGCATGGGAAGGAAAAATTATTTCTTTCTGTGCATCCTCTTCTCCGTCGATTAAAGGTAGGCAACGCATATGTAATTGCGTATGTCTATGGGCAACGGTTACTTCGCTATTTCATCGATTTCAGGTGGCCGCTCGCTCGTTTGCCACATTATGATATAAAAAAAATGTAAATGCTTGAAAATAACGATGTGAACGTCAATGGCTCAGGGGATAAGTATTTGACATGTCATCTGTAACTCCCGGGTTCGAATCCCTGAATGTATTATACTAATGTGTTTTTTTTTCAATCATACTTACGATTTTGTTTATTCTTAGTGCAGCTAAAACCAGTGCCGCACATTTTCTGACCAGAACTCAAACAATAGCAAACGCTGCAAGAATTCACATCTATCCACAACTTGCCCACTTCACAATCTTTTGCTAAAAACAGAATAAGTTATTTAACTAATTTAGCCTTTTTTTTATATATAATTTCTAGTTACTATTGTTTGTTCTCTTTAGATTATTAAATTATTGCTCAACTTTAAAAAATTGTACATACGCAATGTAACTTATAGGAAGTCATTGGCTCCTTTAATACAGGGAGACCTAGTAAAGGAGCCAAGTTTATAATGAACCAGATTTGTTGAATATACAATAAAACTTTATTATTATTATTATTATACATTTATTTATATACATTTCTAATATAATACATTTCATATAAAAAAATATATACAAAACATATTATATTAAAAAGAGAACACCGGCTGCGGAATCCCATGACTCAAACAACCAGTGGTCAATTATTATTATTATTATTATTCTAGGCATCGCTAAAATTATGTATATTTGCCTATAACATGCTCGCGTGTAAGCTACCTTCCTGCCCAAGTCCCGTTAAAATCGGTCCACCCGTTCTGGAGATTACCCGGAACAAACGCGGCCTTGCGGACAGACATACAGACAACAATTTCAATAATTGTTTTTTTTATTATCACTAAATACATCGTGTGTACAATTTTTTTCCGATATTAAGTAAAGACACTTTAATTTCTTCCGACTTCTGAAATATTAAATTATTCAAACATTCGTGAGACATTATACTAAACTGATATATAAACACAGCGAAACACTCACGTATATTCGTCCGGTGGCGGCACCGACTTGTTTCGAACCCATCGGGGGCCCTTCACCAGGATGAGTGGTACTGGTATTATTTCGCGGACGCGGCCCTCAGCTCACCGTCGCCACCGGACGAATATACGTGAGTGTTTAGCCGTGTTTATATATCAGTTCTGAAATGTCAATTAATTTTAGAAGTATCCATCACTGTTTAAACTGACATCCATCTTTTCAACTTTAATAGAAAATAAAGTCTTATAAAAACCTCATTAACAGCTTATACTTTACCTACCATTCATTCTTTTATCTATTCAAGTGACCACATGGGTTTCTGAGACAAAAATCTCTGCAAACATCACCGTTTTTCATCTTTGACAAATAAGAAATAACAATAGGTTTTAGAGATTGGTGTCAGAAGCCCACTGTAAATCATTTGTTTGAACTTAAAGATTAAATTCAATTATAAAATATTAATAATTGAAACGTTATTTAAATTGTAAACGCTTTTCTTGTTAAACACGATTCAATAATTATTAAAAGCATTAATGTTTCTTAAGTAAGATTTAAAATGTAGTTGAGAAAATTATTCTTAGTGAACTTAAGAAGACAAAGACAGTTCGTATAATTTTACTAAGAAATATATTCAATTGCATTTTTTCTCTCTGGAGATTCAAGAATATAAATCACTTTATTGTTAACTAGTAGTCGCCCGCGACTCCGTCAGCGCGAAATTAAAAAAACATAATTAATAGCCTCTGTGTTCTTCCATACTATGTTCTATATGTATAGCAAATTTAATCGAGATCCGTTCGATCCATCTAAACATTCGCATTTATAATATTAGTAAGTAGTATGATATGAATGGATTGTAAATGTATAATTATTATGAAAAATATTAAAAAGCAAAACTCACATGTTTGCGATAGTAATCCAGGCACAATTTCTAAAAACAAAAAGTAGACAGACCAACAGTTAAATTAAAAGTTAGAAATGAATTTACAAAGATAAATAACTAATGATGATGCTATTTAATTAGTATATGTATTTACCATTGCAACTTCTGTATTCATGCCAGCAGGCCCATCGACCATTATCTTTGCATTTACATCCCTCGCACCGGGACGGCACGCCTTGTATGAACTCGTGTCCCGGGGTGCATGTCTCAAGGCTCTTGTCTGGAAGAGTGCTGTATAGATAACTATACTATGATAGTTTAAAACAATTGTGGCAATTTTCGCCACCGCTTAACATAGTATACCATACTAACTTGATGGTTGACGACAACCAAATGGTTATATAATTTCCGATATAGAATGACGCGAGAGTAACCTATCGATAGGTTACGCTGGACTGAGTTAGGTCAGACCTAGAAAAACTTTTACGTTTTTCTTTAAAGGCCAGTAACGCATCAGCGATATCACTGGAGATTAATTAACATAAGCGACCTTAAAATAGATAAATAAAAATTTTATTTCACTAACCTTTAACCACGCCATGCAGTCTGACCAATTCATGAGATTTTTCTGAAAAAAAAAATATTATTTACATTTTATGAAAGGACCAAAATCCATTTCAATTTTATTACGAATATATAAATATTTGTATGATGAACTTACTTTTTTGTCCATAACATAAATAAGGATAACAAAAGGACGCGGTGCCATCCAAACAGAAACATTCATTACAATTCTTCTCGTTTTCTGAATTGAACCAAGTACCAGGCGTACATGTTGCATCTGTTATATAATTAAACACAATATAAAGTCGACTTACTGGATAATTTTGAGTTTCAAAGTTAAATTTTAACAGGGGAAATACTGTTACTTTAACATAAATAATTCATAATAGAATATAAATAAATACCTTTATCGACACAATCTATATACTGGCACAAGTATAACAGGCCTCCGGCGTGAACACATTTGCTGCAGCCTATCTTGACAACTTCTTTGCAACGCTCTTGGTGATCCAACTCTAAATAAAACAAGTCATGCGATTTATCGCTGATTTCTAAGACCAAATCTCTCTATAAAACAAATCGTCATTCCTTTTATTTTCCCTGACAAAACAGAGATGACAATATTATTCAAACGGGACTTTCATCTCAGAAACTCACGATTAGAAATGTACTGCTATGACATTTGAATTACTATCATACACTAAATTATCCAAACTTTCGTGAGACATTATAATAAGAAACTTGAACAGCAACACCACCGACGCTTTAGTATCAACATCGTCGTAGACGCCGGCGCACCCCGCTACCCCGTCCATCAAAACGCGCCCTAAGAGCGCAGGCGTGCAGTGAGCGACGGGTCGCGTCCGCGAAATAGTACTAGTCCCACTCACCCTGATGAAGGGTCCCCGATGGGATCGAAACTAGTCCATGCCGCCACCGGACGAATATACGTGAGTGTTTAGCCATTTTTATATAATTTTACTATGAACTCTGAACAGAACAGAACTGAACAGTAGGGCGTTGGCGCAAGAGGGTAAGCTTCAATTCAAGTCTTACTAAGAAAATGGTGTTAAATTAAAAAAAAAATCACTTACCTGGAACTTCCCCTCTGAGATCTTCAAAACTAACGTCTTTTTTCAAACTTTTCCTAAATGTTATATTGTCGTTTTTTGCGTAATGATGTTTGATATTTTTTTTAGGAATGTGATAACGTTTGACTGAAAAAAATTTTAGGAACACCAAAACAAAAATTATACAATTATTTATTTTATATAATAACAAGTTCTTGTATACCTACCCTCCTCACTTGAAAACCATTTGCCAATAATATGATCTTGACACTCAATTTGGTTAGTAATCTGCAAAATAATAAATATTAAAATCTAAAACTAAAAATCAAATGTACAGTCGCCGTTGTAGCATTCCTTGCGTTTTATTTGGCTCGTTCACGTACCGACACGTGTTACCGGTCCAAAGGTCTGACATCGACTGACGCCCCCTCTCTCCGGCATACTTATGGCGTGTACGCTCGAGACAAACAATATCACGTTTATGCATACACTACCGCCGTCATTCGCGGGTTTTTAACTTAAAAGCGTTAATCGTCTGAATGTCCTACATATATGCCTTAGAACTATAAATCTGTAAGTGTAGTATCAACTGCCTATTTCGTGTTATTGCAATATTCAGTGGTGCATAAAATATATTTATATACATTATACAGTTATTCATTATTTCTAATTAGATCAAACTGTTTAAGTTAGTTGTAAAATGCAATTTTTCTGTAACTAAGGCACTGCTAACGTCGACGACTGTACCACTTTACTGTAGTATTATTTTTATTAAATTTCTAATCCATATTACACAAAAATACTTACCCAAAATAAATAAAGAAGAAACTCTAAATAACAACACCTTCGTTGCATCTTTACAGACTTAATGATAAGGAAACTATAAAAATTGATAATTAAATAGCAATGCGCATATCCGAACCATTGCTAATTTATCTAATCAGAAATTAATTGGTACTTATTAACGCAATTTATCGTGTCTAAACAAGTAAAATATATAAAACTATATTACTTTTTGTACGAGAAAAAACTAAAAAGTAAACAGAGGTCTCTCATCATCAGCTCACTATACGTCCCCACTGAGGGGCTCGGAGCCTACCTAAAGTCACTTGTGACTAGGCCATAGTCAACCACGCTGGCCAAGTGCGGGTTGGTTGACTTCACACATATTTTTGAATTTCTTCTCAGATATGTGCAGCATCACGATGGTTTCCTTCACCGTAAGAACGTCGGATAAATGTACATATGTAAATCGGAAAGCGAATAACACATTGGTACATGGCGGGATTCTAACCCAGGACCTGGAGATGGCAAGTCAAGTGCTTGATCCCTGAGCCATAGACGCTCTAAAAATCTCTGAATATGTATAAAATGTACACAATAAACAAGCCACCTCATTTCGGTCGTATATTTTACTTTAATTTTTTTTAAATCAGAGGAGCACTTACATAAAGGGGAATTTGCAACGTTTCCTTAAGGAAGAGAAATGAATAAAACCTCGCTCCTTCAAGCGTTTAAGTTCTCACTAAAGAAAACTACATTTAAAAAGGTACAAGTGCTAAGGAAATTATGTAATTCGTTAAAGTCTAAGAGGTTCATTCTACAATTTAATGTACATTTTTAAATACGCATTTATCCAAATATTGACTATTGCCCGGGCATATGCGTCATCGGTTTAAAAAAAAATCATTAAGTAAGCTGTATCTTCTTCTAGACTTTATGGCAAATTTCATCGTTGAAACATCGTTTGTTAGAAGGTACCCCACCTTCTAACAAACATCCATCTACACATCCGAACATTCGTATTTATATTAGTAGGATTATATTGTAGGTTTTCACTGCTATACCGTACAAAACATATATATCCTTGGGAGTCAGCAGAACGCCTGTCGAATTGAAGGTTAAGTAACCTGTCTGTTCTCGAATATTTACGTAAATAACCTCAAACAATCTTCATTTAATATAAATCTTGTATAATACTGTATGTTTATATTATAAGTATTTAAAACTACATCCTAAATACAAAGTAACAAAATGTATTTTTAACTTACAATGTCAACTTTCTCAGCAATACACTAAAGTATGGAATACCTGAAACTTTTATTAGTCAAGTGAACTTAAAACTTCGCAACGGTCGTAAAGTTGTCGAAGTTAACTTGACTCCGTTGCAACTTGCAATAAGTCGTCAACTACTTTACGATACTATTTACTTAGTAAGCTAAGTTGGGTAACTTAATATCCTGAATTAAGTAATATACAAAATAGCAATGCAAAGAAGAGGTTTTTTTTTATATAATACTAACAGCCGCCCGCGACTCCGTCCTCGCGGAATTAAAAAAACCTGTTCAACTATGTGCGAAGAAACTCAAAGATGTCTGTGAATCCGCACTGGACATGCACGGTTGAACAGCCCAATCACTTCTAACTTAGGTTAATTTGTAGCTCGTACTCTAGGAAGTATACTGATGACATATATTGTTGAAATAGTACGGCTACAAGTGTAGGAAATCTCATCCGAAACAGCATCAAAACGTTCTCTGATTTCCACAAAACAGTCCACTAAAGTTTCAATGCAATTTTTCTATAATTTAGCAAAGATTTCAAGATAAGGATTGTTTGTATTCATATAGCTTGAATAAATTTATCTGAAACGATGTACTGGAATTCAAAAGATAATTGCAATCACCACCAATCAAACACTAATTTTTTAGATTTTTATCAATCTGTCTCACTGCAAATCCGTGTTCCAAGTAATATCCGAAACGGTTCAACCAATTATCACAAGGCTTAACTGAAAACTGTTGTAAATGGGCATAACTTAGTTTTTAATTCCGCACTGACGAAGTCGCAGTAAACCGTTAGTAAGACAAATAGAAATGGAAATTGTAAAGTTAACAAAACTGTTTTAGTTATACTTTAAAAATGTTCCGTGCAACTTTGAAGAACATAATTTTTAAGTCCCAAGTAGTAACATTACTTTAGCACGCTCTTCGACCTCAAGTCTGCTGGCAAGTTAGTTAGTTCGCGGTTTTCTTCACAGACAAGTGGCATCATGGCTCTTTTAACTAGTTTTCTTACTGAAACTACTTGGTTTATACTTAAGGAATTTTTAATGGATAAATTTTGAAAAATATCTAACGATTGACTTATCATCATCATCACCATCGAGGAGCTCGGAGCCTACCTTAAGTTAGGGTGATTAGGCCATAGTCAACCACGCTGGTCAAGTATGGGTTGTTTAACTTGACACATATATTTAAATTTCTTCTCAGATATATGCAGGTTGCATCACGATGTTTTCTTTCGCCGTAAGAACGTCGGATAAATGTACATATGTAAATCGAAAAACACATTGGTACATGGCTTATAATATCCACAATTACCAAAAACATAATTTATTTCTACCGTCACAATAATTCTAAAAGCACAAAAACTATGAATTAAAGATTCTAATATAAACATTCGTTTAAAATTACGTTAAACTCCACAAAAGAGGTTAAATTTTTTGGTTGACAGTGTTTTAATAAATCTTAATAATTGTAAAACAAGCTAATAATCAAAAACCTAATAAAAGATATCAAAATAATACTATTACATTAAAAAATAAGTTAACTACAACTGGGTAAAGTTAAAAAATCTGCTAAAATTGTTGACAAATATTTCATAAAGAATTTTTCTTTTTTCATTTGTCATCTGTGCGATTTCTTAGCGGCTTTGTATTCAAATTAATTCACAGACTCCATGAATCGTTTTAGCGCCAAATTTACCGCGTTTTTTATTAGCTGTTTATTCGCTTTTTCTGTTTTACGATGCCTACAATATACTTTCATTTTGTTTGTATTGAAATATTTTACTTTGCTTTTTACATGACATTGTTTTGTTGCCTACTTTATTAACTTTTTAAATAAAGAGGTTATATATTTTAAAAATATACAGAAAATATTTGTCCCGGTGAGGATAAGTCAAACTAAATTATGATTCACTAGCGCCCCTCTGTCACTAAATATTTAATAATAAAAAAACTTAACTGTATACATTTACATATGGATGTGGTCAACTAGATTTTGTCCAAATTACATTTCGTATATTTTTAAATGAGAGTTTTTTTTCAATTTATTATCTATGCATTCGTAGGAATAACTAAGAAGGCCTGAGTAAACAGTCGGAGTTCTAAGCCGCGTAAAGAATTGAGGCGTTGAGATAGATAAGGGGGAGTTTCATGAATTATTTACGTCTTTCTGCAGGTTTCGCGACCCATTGTTCGGAATCTCTCCGTGTGAAAGCCTTGTTTAATGGAATTTTTATAGCATAGTATACTACTATTCTCTCAAGTTTACACGTATGTTGAAGATTTTAAAGTAAAAGTAAACGAAAATTCTAAACAAGGCAACAAAAGTCGTCAAAACCAATATGATTGCGTCGTGATAATCGCGCTCCGTACACACAATCGTCGACGTGCGTCGTCTATTCGATTATTAGCAGTAGCGACTACATGTCAACAGTATAAATCTGCTCCGCCATCTTGAAAATCGTAGCAATTTTTCTCACGACGATTTTGACAAACAGGTTGCGACTGTCTTTGACGATGACAGATTGAAATGTCGTTTACGAATGTCTATGATTATGACTTCGCTTCGCTTAGCGACTAAAATCACCGGGTATTCGATTATCTACTTTCCCTTGTGTACAAAGGATCTTAGAGTTTATAGTGAAACACTGATACAAAAACATATAGCGTCCCTTTCTCTCTTACAATAAAGATAATATGATATATTTTTGTTAGGATTTTTCTGTTTACTTTTAGTTAAATTGAAAAGCGTACTACAAACAGAAGGGTTATTGAAACGAGATTTTTTAGTTTCCGTGAAAACCTTAAAGTACGTTAAAATAATTTATTAAGAGTCTATAAAAAACAAATTGCACACCTCACTTAATATATAAAACCTAGAATTATTTATTTAACAGATGACGTCATCAGAATATAATATTTTTAAATTTGATATTGTTTAACAATACAAAGCGAAATTTTCGTTAATTGATCGCTTTCAGTGAGCGACAAGAGCGGACAAATTAATTAATCTTTTTGTTCGATTTTCAAAAATTACAAACATATTTTTACCGTCATCAAAAATAATTTAAATATATTTTCGAACTTAATGAAATTCAATAAGGTTCAATTGATAATACAGTAAGTTTCTCAACTGCAAAGTTTTCATTTGTTTTGTATTGTTAAGGCATGTTTACACAGATGCAATATGTTTGCTTTGTTTTTAATACATATATAAATAGTGGTAGGAAATGTTCTCGGACGTGTATATTATATACCGGATTGGTCGCTTCTAGACCAGCAAGATGCTGCCCATCACAATAATATTGCTCGTTGTTACGGTGAGTTTTTTAATTTACTTTTTTGATTGTATTGATACGGTAAAGAGTTTTTTTAGATCTCGTAATAATATAAACATTCATAGGACGGCATACAAAAGCAGAAAATACTGGTTTTTCGAAAAAATAATTAAAAAAAAAAAAGATTTTTTTTAATTTACATTAGTCCAATTGGTCAAACCATTTTATAGCGTACTGGCAACTTTTAAAATTAACTATTCCTTGTTGTTTAAAAAAAATATTAGAGAACGTCTTAAAAGGTTTTTTAACTAAAAATCTTTATAACACATTACACTAAGCTTACTTAAGAAATCAACGAAATCGTAAAATATTCAGATTTAAGAAAATATCTCTTGTATGAGAAAAAAAATATTTTTATCATCAATATTTCCTCTTCTATATTATCGAGCTATCAATAACCGTTTGCGACGAATATTCCGATTTCCATACAAATATGTTCGCGGCTTGAATCAGGCACAATGCGTATTGAAAACGAGGCTTTGCGCCTGACATGTTGGTTTGCGAATAACAGATAAAAAAGCAATTTTCTCTCTTTATTTCGAATTGTAAATTATTTCAGAACATTTCACAAAAAAATTTATCCTTTTAAATAACTTAATGTAATATAATTTACAGCGTCGGTGGCTCAAGGGTCAAGCACTTGACTTGCGATCTGCAGGTCCTGTGTGCGAATCCCGCCATGTACCAATGTGTTTTTCGATTTTAGATTTACATACATTTATCCGATGTTCTTACGATGAAGGTAAACATCGTGATGCAACCTGCACATATCTGAGAAGAAATTCAAAGATATGTGTGAAGTCAGCCAACCCGCATTTGGCCAGCGTGGTTGACTATGGCCAAATCACCCTTAACTTAGGGTAGGCTCCGAGCCCCTCGGTGGGGACGTATAGTGAGCTGGTAATGATGAATATAATTTAATTCAGAAAAAACATTTCACATTTTAAACATTATATTTTGATAACACTTACTTCGAGCTTAATAATTTCTTAAGACCCTTCGTACAAGGAGATGAAAATTTTCGAAGCCTGACAATGTTAATCGCTTAGCAACTTACGTACAGTGTCCAAGAAGTTCGTACACAAAAAGAGTTGTTGACATTTCTATCTGCCATACCATAGTTTTAGACATTATTAGTTAGAATCATTTGACGCGAATGACGTGCTTTCGTTACCAAGTCAAGTGTCAGAATGATTAGTGAGGGGACATAAACGTCGACATTTTAGTAAGGCTAGTGCGACAGTACACCGGCAGTGTCGGATTTTCTTAACAATAGCTAGTCGTTGGTTTTTTGTTTGTCAAGATCGTCGTGAGGAAAGTTGCTCAGATTCATATCCCATCCGATTCGATGACACTTTAGAACTTTTAGTACCGGCGTTAGAGTAGGGCGCATGTGGGCGACCACCCAGGGCCTTGAACATAAAGGCCCCAAAGCTCTAAATACTTAATCTTAGTAAAAAGTAACAAAACAAAGGTCCCGGAGGCCTAATTTAGTCCACTTTCTCTTCCTACTCTTTTTCTTGTAAGGAAGGGATGGGAAGTGGAAGCGGACTTTCCGGATGAGGGGATGCATGGAAATGTTTTCTTTCTGTGCATACTCTCCTCCGTCGATTAAGGGTGGGCAACGCATATGCAATCGCGTATGTCTATGGGCAACGGTCACTTCGCTATTTCAGTGATTTCATTTGGCCGCTCGCACGTTTGCCCCACCTTATAATATAAAAAAAAACACGACAATTACTAAATACAAAGAAAAAGTAAGATTTCTATTATAATCTATTTTTTATAAATCATATCTAAATATCTTGTTGTATTTTATAACACCCTCTATTACATTTAAAATAGAAAGCGTACATATTAGCACACGAATCCACGTCTCTATGAATATGTAATTCTATAAATATTCATAGCCTTGCGAATCTCTCGCAAGAACTGTCGACTACGGATTACTTACCTTATACTTAATATTTAAACATTATTATGTATTAATAAACATTATTACAGACAGTGATTACGCTTGACGATTCAATTTGGCGGAAAGAAAGGGGATATATCTTTCTGCGCGACCCTTTCTCTGTCGATTAAAGGTACATACATCTGCAAAGGCGTATGTCTATGGGCAGCGGTCGCTTCGCTATTTTGATACTTTGCCATCATAGGCGCGAATTACACAGAAACGGCAAAGGGCGTGGGCGCGACGCAGGCATGTTGCCTGTTCAAAACGTTTCAATAATTAATGTAGGTAGGCACGATATGAATTATACGCAGAATGGCGCAGGCACATCGTTTTGTTCGTTCCATGCCTGCTCTGCGCCTACGCGTCTTGACCGTATGCCGTTTTTGTATAATTCGCGCCGTAAACTATGAAATGATAACATTTGACAATTATTATTTAAATATTCAAAGTTGCATTACGCCTGTTTCGATTTATTTGCCAAGCGTGCCATCTAAATAATTAGCAATCGATCAAAGAGCATAAAGTACTAATTGACAGTTTAAGCACAGTTTGCCAAACACTAGCAAACATTGGCAATTGTCTAAATCCTAGTTTGTGAATACATAAGCCAGCTTCAGACAGCTCGCTCCCGTGGGATGGTCAACTGGACAACTGTCACCGTTTAATCCCTTGCATTGGGATTGTTATTTCAACTAGCGAAAACAATATTTAACTGAAATATTTAAATCTAAATATTTTTAAGGTTCCGTATCTCGAAAGGAAAAAAGACGGAACCCATTTAGGATCACTTTGTTGTCCTTCTGTCTGTCAAGGTCCTTTTTTTTAAATATAATTCTGCAGGAAATGACGGAGTTACACTATATCAGATTGAGATTAATTTGTCATATTATGATGTTTACCTCCACACGCATTATTTTATTGTATTACTAGCTGTCGCCCGCAACTCTGTCCGCGCGGAATTGAAAAAAAACCTAATTAGTAGCCTATGTGTTCTTCCAGACTATGTTCTACATATATGCCAAATTTCATCGAGATCCGTTGAGCTGTTCTGGAGATACTTTCAAACAAACATCCATCTAAACATTCGCATTTATAATAATTTTAGTAAGAATATAAACCTCAAGTTAATCAAGTAGAGGACACTATGACGTTACAGTTTTATATTTACAATGACAATAGTCAGTCTTCCAGCTTATTAAGTCTACTCGTGTAAACTAGAACGCTATATTTTAATGTTACAGAGCGCATTTGCAGCTCCATCAGTGACCGTCACCCAATACAACGCCAATGATATCCCACCAGTCCCTGACAATGGCAAACCAAGGTAACTGTAAGACGACTTAAGAGTATGCATCACTCAAAGTCGTTTACCACCTTTTGATATAAACAAAAAAGATTTATTACGAAAAATCTAGGAGCATCAAGACGATATATGTTTATGCAAATATTTACTGAGCATTACTTATAGTTCAAGCATCGAGAATGCATTCGACGTTCTCAGCGACGGTGGCGACACCAACATCTACATCCTGACCATCCGTCAGATCCTCAACGATCTGGCCAACCAGTCTGACTCTAAGAGCCAGGCGCTCGCTGTAGGTCAGGCCATCGCCATCCTCGGCGAACTGGCTTATGGTAACCCTGGTGACGCTTGCGCTGCGGCTGAGGTATTATGGATTAATTTATATTTATTATATTTTTGGAACACAAAAGATTATTGGATGGATTAACGAGATACATTGCCATTAATCATTGAGTGAAGAACATGAGTGCTGTTCTGTTCTAGAGTCTCCGATCAGAATGATGATACAACAACCTGCAAGATTCAGAAAACTCAAGAAGATAAAAGATGTCATAACTTTAAATATAAATAAAGTTACGACTATGATAAAAATAAATTAATAGATTCCTTAAACTATGGACATATCAATTATATAAAAAGTGCAAATTCCTAAGTATCTTTGTTTTCCAGCTCGTGAACGCTTACACAAGCGGCAACAAGGCGGCAACTCGCGCCGCTCTAGGCAACTTCATCCAGAGTCTGGTCGCCAACATCGACTCATTAGTCCAGCTCATCCTCAACCCTAACTCTGTCAGATACTCTGTAAGTCAATTCTAAGTTTTATATATTTAGAGAGTGTTGTCAATAAGTGCTAATTGTTTAGTTCAAGTTACAAACGCTGTGGCCATATCAAGGCGACAAAGAATAATTTTAGTACTATGGTAAAAATGTTAGTAAATTTTAACTTGATGACGTTATGAACTTGGTTCACTGACAAGTCGACAATGTTCAAAATATTGCACTCTCTCATCTCAAATCCCTGTTTAAAACATATTCTTATCTCAGTTTTATTAAAGAATAGCTGCCGCCTGCGACTCCGTTTTAATAAAAATTTAATTAGTAGCCTATGTGTTTTTCCACACTATCTTCTAGTTCCAGAGATTCAAACAAACATCCATCCATCCATACATTCGTATTTATAATATTAGTAAGATAAGACTGTGAAGATGATGTGTTTTATACAGATACTAGCGGACCCGACAGACGTTGTCCTGTCTACACGTCTTTAATTTGAATAAATTAATATGAAGTTAATATTTGATGAAAATTGTGAATCTAAATCATTCCCAGATCCCCTTGAACACACACAAAAAATTTCATCAAAATCGGTCCAGTCGTTTGAGAGAAGTTCAGTGACATACACACTCACAGAAGAATTATAAAGATTTTCGCAGTCTCAGTAACCAACAGTTAATTTTGTAAATGTATATTACATTTCCTACATAATAATAGTGGAAATAAAATCCTCTGCATAAATTCTTCAAGCACATCACAAGCTTGCAATATATTAATAGTCTCACTGTATCCTGTATCCCTAGACTCCATTTATCTCTACAACCGATTCCCCGCGCAACTAAACTGGGATTTACGTTGTTATTAATATTAATTATTTCTTCCACTATTTTCAGCTCAATGATTAATCATACAACTTCAACTTAAATTGTTTACCGCAACTATTAAGTAAATAATGTATTTACTTTAATGATTACATATTAATGTAACAGTGGTGGAGCCCGCTTTAACATCTTCGCACGAATCGGCCCGGCTCGCCCGGTGAAATACCACGACCACAAAGAAGACAGGTGTGAAGTGGAAGCTATTCCGCGTTTCGTCTGATGAGTGTGCGTCCTGGAAGCCTAATCTAGTCCTCTTTCCCTTCCCACCCTTTTTCTTATAAGGAAAGGATGAAAGTGGAAGTGGACTTTCCGGATGAGAGGATGCATGGAAATGTTTTCTTTCTGTGCATCCTCTCCTCCGTCGATTAAAGGTAAGCAACGCATATGCAATTGCGTATGTCTATGGGCAACGGTCACTTCGCTATTTCAGCGATTTCAGGCGGCCGTTCGCTCGTTTGCTACCTTATGGTATAAAAAAAAATATAACTACTATATAGCTTATTACGACATCAGTATTCTTATACAAAGAACTATTTGAACCCCGCGATTTCGTCTGCGCTGGTTTATAAAATAGATATTTGTTGATTCATAGACCTAGAAACCTACCCTAAGTTAAGGGTGATTACAGAGATCTTTACATATAAGGGAGCTCCAAATCTTGGATTGAGTCAAATTGGTGCGCAATCAAGAAAAATTAAAACTTAATGACGGACGTCTAGACCCACTTAGTTTCACTCTTACTGGGCCGCGGACGAGAGCGAAAGCGTGCCCGTGGTCCCGTCCCGATGCGTTGGAGGAACAGAGGGGTTTAGTGGGTATGCCTCCGCTATGGAGGAGACTCCCACATAACTACCGCGTCCCCCCCCGGGGCGCGGAGTATGCATAAAGCATTCCCCTCTGAAAAAAAAAAAGGGTCACTCTCACTAGTTATATTACTTAGCAAAGTAATCGTTGCTTTCTGATACCAAAATCCCTGTATAAAGTTATTGTTGTCTCTATTTTGTCAAAGGTAATGACAGGGATGACGATGTCTTACTAATGTTATAAATGCAGCAGTTAAGATGAATGGATATATGTTTGTTAGAAGGTATCTCCAAAACGGTTCAACGGATCTTGATGAAATTTGGCATACATATAGAACATAGTCTGGAAGAACACATTAGCTACTCAATATTTTTTTTTATTCCGCATGGACGGAAATGCGGAAACACGGAACAAACGAACAGCCGATGTACGATCTTGTACCTAGTCTTGTAATGTTTATTTATCAATTTTATTATCAGAGTGGTAGACGTGGCAACTGCGTGGGAGGTGGCAGAAGCTACAACTTCGAAGCTGCCTGGGACTCCGTGCTCTCGGAGGCAGATCCCTTCCTATCAAGGTATTCATTAATACAACAAGAAATAAACTTTCAGAATAAACTACAGAACTGAAAGTAAAATCTTCTAAGTCTTGTGTTATCTCATAGTAATAAGAGAGAATAGATATAACAGTGAAGTCATGGTAAATTCGAATTCACTGTCTATTTTTCAGTGTTCTTAGTTTATACCTTCCCAATTTATCTAGAGAAAGTTACATAAAGTCCTAACATTTCAGCTTATACAACGAAGAATACTGCGCTGCAAAGAGGCTGTACAATGCCTTCAACATCCGCAGTAATAACGTAGGTGCTGCAGTCACCGCAGCATCCTTGTCACCTGTCACTAAAGTTGTACAGAGGGCTTACAGCACTCTGGCTAACGTAAGTCTTAAACATCTATTCCACTGAACGGCTAACAAGACTGACTGCGACAGCTTTTTCTGTTAGAAGTCAGTGTATATTTTCCACTGGTCTATCCTTGGCTTTCTTTAAGCAGTGGCAAGCCATAAAGCGAAATCGATAATCAATGTTTTTAAATCATTTGCTTCAAATTAAATTTTTAAAGATCGCAATAGCAAGGCTCTAAAAATATTGTTTAGGGAGTGATTTTTGTATTCCCCATCTTACATAATTGTTTCAAGGATCAATTATTGGGTTGAGCTGTTGATAGCGTAGCTCTTGCTTCTTGCTTCATGTTATAAACATATTATATTTTCTTGTCTATTTTCAGCTCTTGCGCGCAATTGGAAACAACGGTAACGTAATCGGAGCCGCCGCGGCCGCTAAGGTTGAACTTCTACGTTCTCTCTAAACACTTTCAAATTTTACCAACATCATCGTATTACCAACATAACGTCATATTACCAACATGACAAGTTTTACATGTATTACCGAACATGTCTATCAGAACTATAGTATTTGTTATATAATATACACATATATCCATCATATTAAAGTCAATATTCTAAGCATTTTGTATATTGTATATAGCAGAATTATCATACTACTATTTATGTAAATATAAATCTTATAGTAAACAACGACATGGCTTTTATTACGGAAATTGATTATATTTGTTTATTTACTAAAGATTTCCAATAAAGATGTGTCCTTTCAGTTTGGATGGCTTGTTTTATTTGTTATACTGTAAATAATGTAGTAAACACATTATTAATTTCTTTTTTTCTTTTATCCTTATCTTTTTGGTATGCAGTAGGGAATCTAAAGATAAACAGCTTATAGTTGGGCGGACGGTGGTATGTGTTTGAACCACTAAAACCACTTTTTTGTGGCTCGTTTCTAGCCTGTTGGATTTTTAAACATAATTTACATTAGAAAATGTATGCGACATTATATATGTACATATATTTATGTACTTCGGGCTCTAGCTGCGTATTTTACAAGGCGTTGTCATGTAAGTTTAATATTAAGATTGCTAGTCGGGTCGTGAGCAATCATTTAATTTTGTCAGAAATTCATACGAATCGTACATGCAAGACCCTTCGTACACATACCAAAATCAATCGTCGAAACCCAACAATTAAACTCTTAATTATTACTTTTAAGAAAACTTTTTTAAAATTGTTATAAATAAATGATAGGATTTACTCCCAGCATTCCTTAGCCTGAACCAATCAAAACTCTTAATGCCTTAATCCATTGAACAAATTAAATCTCGTTGCAATCCCGACTGCAAGATGGATCACAATCAAGATGGATAATACTTTCTTACTTGAACGTAAATTAAAATGCGCATTGCATTGGAATTGCTATTTATAACCTTTTCCAAGCCTAATCTCAGTCTCACACCAAGGTAATTAGACAAAATGCATTCGCTCCAAAGCGATTCCATAGCGAACTTCAAAAAGGTATGGAACTGACAATAACTTTAGATTAGCCACGTGATTATCAGGCGTCAGCTCCATACATTTTTGAAGTTCGCTATGGAATCGGATTTTGATGAAATTTGG